AAATTGCTTTTTGTTTTAAAATTACAATACATAATTTTTTTTTAATTGCATAAAAGTTTATTTTTTATGAATTAATAAAAAACTAATTTACAAAAAAATTCAGTTTAGATTTCAATAAATTAGAAAAATATCAAAACAGATTTTTGTAAAAAAATAAATAAATTAGAAGAAATAGTTTTGGAATGAGTTTATTCATCAAAATTGCCAAAATATAATGAATAAAACCCAACAGCATACTTACAAACCTTATAAATAAATAACCTATACATTTTTAGATTGAAAATTCTAAAATCCAATCCTCAATAATTAATTTGTTTAACTACTACATTATTATTTAAAAAAAAAACGGTCAAAATGTAAAAGCTTTTTAAACCAAACAATAATGATATAAAAAATCGTTATATATTTTTTTTTATTGTTTGGTTAAAAATGTAAGGAAAAATTATTTTATGCCAAGTTAAACAGTATTAAAAAAATTTAACAATTTAAAAAAAGAATATAAAATATGGAAGGTATTTTTTAAATATATTATTTTAACTTTTTATATTTAATAAAAGATTAAACTTGATTACTTTTTCTAGTAACTTTGTACTTAGCATTAAATAGTTTTTCCTTACAGGTTTGTAAACATAACGATTTTCAAAACTAAAATTTTTTACAACAAATGTTTTTATTATATTAAAAATTAAATTTAAAAAATCCGTTTTATTTTATTTTTTTTATAAACTATGTACATATATATTTTTTTTATAAAAAAAATAACTTTGTAATAATAAAATGAAATAAAAAAATGTATGTCTATTTTGAATTAGAAGTTTTTGTTTTTAAATGTTTAAAGATTCTGCAAATTCGTGTATGAAGTTACCCAAACCGAAATTTAAAACATTAATGTGCTCAAAATTTTCAATGTAAATTTTACAGTTGGACTTCTTCAAAACGATTTTTTTAATACATATTTTAATTAAAACGGATTTTTAACATAGATTTTTTTAAATAAATTTTTAATTTTTTCTTGTTTTAATTTAAAAACAGACGTACTTTTAAATATTTGAAATTTATGATTTTATTAATTTGTTATCTAATTTAATTTTCTTTTAGTTTAGTAAAAACGTTTTTATATTATTATATACATACATATATGTTTTTTTATTTTTTAAATTTTTACTCTCTTTATTTTTAAAATTTTTACTTTCTTTATTTTTACACTATTACAATTTTTTTGTTATAATTTAAGTTACAACTTTGTATAATTTTATTTATTTTATTTTAATTTTTAATATTTTAAAAATAGAAACAATATTTTATATAAAAAATAAAGAAAATGTAGTTGTTAATAATTTTTGCACTAAAATTATAGTATTTTATTTTTATTAAATTAAAATTGCTAGTTAAAACACTTTTAACTAAACTAAGGGAACCTATTTGAAAGAGAAATTCAAAAACATTAAAAGCAAAAACAACACCTATGTATACTAGTGTATGCAATCAACGAAAAAAAATTAACTATAAAACAATTATTTGAAACTTACGCACTTATAGATACAAAATGAACAACAACAATTAAGTGAAGTTACAACAATATCAAGAGCAAGCAAGTGAAAAATAAAAATTAAAATAATTTAGAAAAATCAAATTTGTTCTGAAAAAATCCTAAAATTTGCATATTAAGTGAAATATAATTAAATGAGATACGCAAAAAACTAAAAAAAATTTGGAAAGCATAAAAGTTACAAAAAAAAAATTAGATTAGAAGTAAAGTGTTTTTGAAAAACATTTGGGAAAAACAATAAAAAAGTTAAGTGAAATGCCATAATTTTTAATATAAAAGAAATTTCAATGAAAAAATCATAAGCTGCTTGCCAAAAAAAAAAAATGTTCACTAGAATTTTTTCAAAAAATTTTGTAATTAGATTAAAAAAGTGTATTTTTTTTTTTGACATTACATACAAAGAATTACATACAATTGCGTTAAAAAAAATGTTTTTTTTACTTAAATTTTTTTTTTGTAATTACTTATACTTACACAATCATGAAAGGAATAAAATAAAAATGCTTCCCCAAATTATATTGTTAACACATTATTACACACCTAAAGAAAAAGGATTATATAAGATTTTTGTTAAAGGAAAAATAAAATCCACTAAACTTCCTGTTGCACAAAACAATAAAAATGATAATAAAAATCTATTCCAATTCAATTAAAAATTGTATTTTCTTAAAACAAACACAATCTATTTACAACTAACCTCAAAAGTAGTTGATATCTATTAGTTGCTAATGATACATTTTTATATTTTGACTTTTACTTTAGTGTTTTGTTAACAATTTTAGTATGAACTTCAATATAAATTATGGTAAACTATATTTTTTATTGTTTAATATCCTTAGCACTCTTAAAAAATAAATTTGATAGTGTATTAATACTCCATTCGTAAAAATTAATCCATTTATTTAAATAATTTGATAATGATTTCACTTAATGTAGTTGCTTGCCAAAAATTTGGAAACACTAGAATTGTTTTTACAATAACTTTCTTGTTGCAAAACGGTTTAAAAATAATTACAAATTAAATTAATAGTAAATAATTTGTACGTATAAATTTGAAAATATACAAATTACAATTATATTATTTTATTAAAGCAAAGAAATAAATAAAATGAAAAATTATGTTCAAAAATGTTTCCAAAATACAAAAACAAAAAATTATCATGAAATTATTCAAAATATTTTTTTCTTGATTTTTTATTTTAAAAAATATTGCAGTTTAATAAAAAAATAATTGACTAAAATTAATTACAAAAATAAAAAATTTATCATTACATTTTTAAAATTATTTTCTTTTAGTTTTTTATAAAAGAAAATATTGCAGTTTATTAAAAAAATAATTGATTGTAATTAATAACTTAATAATTGAAAAACAAAAATTTCTTTTATTATAATCAACGTCATGTTTGATGTATACAGGTGTGAACTAATTAAAAAAAATTAACAAACTTCTATTCTTATAAATTTTTAAAAATAAAATTGTTTGCGTTATGCAAAGATATACTTATTTAAAAACATTTTAAAAAGGCCGCCAACGCAAAGAATAGTTCGACGTGAAAGAACTCTGAACAGCCGTAGGCCCCGTTTTTTAAAAATTATTTCTGTTTGTATTTTGATTTGTCGATATTTTGGTTTGTCATAATTTTGATTTGTCGGTATTTAGATTTTCGGAATTTTAAATATCGAGATTTTGATTGTCGGCATTATATTATACACCCTTCTGTGTTATTCCAATTTTTTGGCAGTATACTGTTTACTGACTCAAAAGACACCAATGTAGTAATCGTACATACATACATAAATGTTCTACTATAAAATTTAGTATTAAGTGAAAAAAACAAAATGCATAAATGCAAAACATATAAATATATATACATACATACATATAAATAAAAATAAAATAAATTGTTTTAAAAAAATGCATGAATAGTATGTAATATATATATACATACATACATATATGTATATGAATGAGAATAAACGTGTTTATAAACCTAATTCGTCTACTTATTTCATAGGTTTTTTTAAAATATTTTTTATTTAAAATATCAGTGGAAAATAATAAGTTTAAGTCGACTTATACTTTAAATTACGACAAAAAAGTTCAAAAATTTCTTCTTCTTGTTTGGTACTAAAAAATCCCTAAGCCATTTAGGGCGAGTAGGCGATAATTTCAAATACAAAAAGCCAAAGCCTTCCTAAGTTTGCTTTTACCAACGCCTTTCTCTTTTCCTGTTCTCATTAGCTGGTATCGCATCAAATACTTTAATAGCTGGAGAGTCTGAAAATACTCGCACGACATGGCGATTACCAGTCTGAATATCTTCGTAACTAGTTCGCATATTGAACCAATCTTGCAACGTTTGATTTCCGGACTGACACTAGTTTCGGTGTTTCGTCTAATTACAATACAACCGCGACGGCTGTGGAAGACGACTTAAAGGCGATAAATAGGTTGGTAGTTTCAGTACACTTCCTTAAAGCATCTTCTAAGATTTTGCTCACTCGTTTCTCAAAGTACCCTTATGACTCTAATCAGCGCATTGGTGGTGGTCTTGAAAAGTTTACAAAACTTCGTTCCAACGATAGTTTTCGCAGTTCCTTACAAAATTTGTTTTCACTACCGAAAGAATAATGTGATCCCGACTTAGTCCTTTGATGCGGTGTTTACCTCTTCTATGAACAAAAATATTGTATACTTCAATCCTTTCATAGAACTTGTGTCATAATATCTTCTGTACTTATATCCAGTCTAGTGTTATTCTAGTGTAATAATGGTCCTTTAGCTAGTTAATAATGAGAGAGATCTTACCTTGATGCAGTTCTCGAGTTTTTAAATTTAGTGTTGAGCTTATCAATATTAGATATTTTTACCAAATAATAATCACATTTTTGATCAGGATCTAAATTCGATGAAAAGGAGTAGCTGGAAATAGCAACTATATGTATAACTTAATCTGAAAACGCAATCGACCAACGCATTGCATTCAACGAAAAACGTTTTGCTAATTCTTTCTTGCCACGTTGTAGGATATAAACCAACTTCAAGTCGGCTTAAGGTTAATTAATAAGGAAACATATATTTAATAGAGATAGCATATCAGAATAATTTTTAATCGCTCCGTGTGTATGACAGCGGTTATCACCTTTAAATGAAAAAAAACATGCAGGCTTCAAGACTGATTTTGAAAATACCCAAAATACAAATAAATAAAAAAAAATTATTAGAATTTAAATCTCACTTTATTTTCCAAATCGGTTTGTGCGTATTAGAAATAGGTATATATATATATATATATGTATGTAAAGTCTTTAACAGCTCTAGGTACGTAAACCTCAACCGTCTTATATTTGAAACGAATTCAGCTAGATCAAAAATACGTAAGCCTTAGTACACTTAAGTTGTAATAGTTTCTTATTAAACAGTTATCGTTTAATCGATAGACATTTGTCGAAACTAGTGTAAACATTTAACGAGTATATTTACAAATGTTATACTACATAACGTTATTATTCTAACAACTAATTCTAACAGCAAGATAACAATGTTTACATATGAATGTATGAAGTAATAAAAAAAAATATTTGATTTTTAGTTGGCAAACTTTGTATGAACAAAGTGTGCACTAAAAAAACTAACGTAACAACGCTTTTATTATTTTTTTATTTTAATAGAAAATGCTTAAACTCTAGAAAACAGGCAAACATAACCTCATAAAAGAGACGACGCGTTTTAACAGTGCTTACATGCGCTTAAAAACGAACTTCGTGGCGGTTGATCTTTTCATAAATTTCTGGTGTGAGCAGTTCATAGCGTCCCTTCGGCGTCTGAAAGTAAATGGTATCCTTTATGTTGGATGGATCGAAACCCTCCTTTTGCAAGTCCACTTTACGCAACTTAAATGTACCGGTCATATCGATTTTGGTGAGGAAACGCAGAAATTGTGGACGCGCATAAGTAGGCAAAACTTTCGCCAATTTCTCCGCGAACACTTCTAAATTCACCTCATTGTTAGGATCATAAATAGCAGCCATGCCAGCGCGTCCCTCCGCATATGGTATGGTCACACCGTAAACGACTGTATCCTTATAGCCTGCCACATTGCTAACCTGCGCCTCCACCTCGCTAGTCGACACATTCTCACCCTTCCAACGGAACGTATCGCCGGTACGATCTTTAAAGAACAAGTAGCCGCGCTCATCGGCAACCAAAAGATCACCGGATAGGAAGGCCATATCTCCTTTGTGAAATACATCGTGTACAATTTTCTTCGCCGAAGCTTTCTCATCCACATAACCGAGAAATTCACGTGCTGAATTACCTTTAACGATTTTACCAATAAACACGCCAGGTTCGTTAGGTTCACAAAGTTGACAGAGACCGTCAGGACCGCGTATTGGTTCACCGGTATCAGGATTGGCTCGCAGTATTGAGATGGGATAAACTTTCGGCAGTATACGTGAGACGAAACCGATCGCACCGACTGTGCTGTCATTATTCATAATGTTGGCATTGCCCTCCGTAGCGCCATAGAATTCACCCACTTTAGGTATATTAAAACGTTCGACGAATTGTGGCCAGATTTGCGGACGCAAACCATTGCCGAAAATGAGACGCACTTTATGGGCGCGATCGTTGGGTGATTCTGGGGTAGCAAGTATATAGCGTGCCATCTCGCCGATATATTGGCCGACCTGTGGAGGGGGGAAAAAGTATGGATTTTATTATCTAATAATCGTTCGTTTAATATTTACCACTACTTAGATTGCAGGGATAAATTACAAGTCGAGTTAAGAAAGAGTTGATAGGGATTGTTTACAGAATATGGATTCTTAATTTTAATGCCAACACACACATACATTTTTTAATACTTAATAGAAGCTCTTGCTACTTACGGTTGCCTGAAATTTGACGCAATCAGCAAAGTAACCGGAGGCGGAGAACTTCTTGCGTATCGCCACCGTGGAACCAAACAGTACCGATTGACCCATGCTCATAATGCCGCCGGCGGTATGATAGAGTGGTAGTGGTGTATAGAAGATATCGTCCTGACGGAAACCCATGGTATAGTTAATGCCAGCAGCGATGAAGAGATAGCTGAATCGTTTGTGAGTATAAAATTGAGTGTTATAGTACAAGCCATAAAATCCACTTTAAACCTACCGTGCATGTGAGATCACCGCCGCCTTAGGCAATCCAGTCGTACCCGAAGTATAGATATAGACAAGACGATCATGATGATTGGCGCGGTCCGCTGTCGTCGCTACTTTACGCTTCTCCACTGTTTCCAGCAATGTAGTCATATCACGTGCTGTTTCCATTACCTCCACATTTGCTTCATTATTGAATTGATACAGCGTCACATCAGTGGGTATGTCGTTGCGAACATCCTCTATGGCATCTTTGAAACCTTCACCGAAAATCAAGGACTTACAATGCGCCACAGTAATGCTGTGTAAAAGTGATGGGCCACGCTGATTGGTGTTGATCAATGGTGTGATAACGCCAATTTTCGACAGGCCCAACCAAATGCCGACAAATTCAGCGCGATTCTCTAATAGCAAACCGACCACCTCACCCTTACGAAAGCCTTGTGCGTGAAAGAGATTCGCAACACGATTTGAGAATTCATCCAATTGACGAAAGGTCCATTGTTGTGTATCGCTGATTATTGCATATTTATTCGGATTCTGCTTGACTTGCATTTGAAATATGTCGGCGATGGTGAAATTTTCACGTTCATATTTTTTGGTTAGACGCAGAAGCTTGAGGTAGGCCCAGAGTGCCCTAAAATGAAAGGGAGCGAAAAAGCTTGCGTAAAAAAGAGTTCCAGGGAAATGTTATTTTTACTTCTCAAACGAGTTTGAGTTATAAAAGTAGTACAACAATAAAATGCTAAAAATAATTAATTCTTATTTATCGTTTTTTTATTAAGATACAATCAAGTAGATTATCATAACCAAGCAATCATGTTGTAAAATTCAAAAATCATAAAATATTCCAAATAATATTTTGCGAACTCCAAGTTCATAGCACATCAAAACTTCGCTGATAAGCTATTACCTAATCCCAAATAAAAAAAACTATACTCGTTTAATCGTGCCCTTTATCGTTCGATATTGCTGAGTGCATTGAGAACAGCGCCCAATCCAATTTATTGACAGATTAGTGCTTGAACCTCTTAAGCGCTTATGTTTTGCCACGAGTATTTTCTATTCACCTATTTTCTGAGTTTTATGCCCCTTTGTTGCTGGTACGATCATTGCACTTTGAACCGCGTTGACCTAAGTGGTTTTGGGTGCATGCTAAATGACTTAGCAAATACATTTACTTGCATACTCGAAGTTCTTATGTGATAAGATTATAGTAAATGGTTGTAAATATTTGTTTGCAGCTACGTAAACAGCTACATGGGTGTTTGTGTAGTGATTTCGAAAGTTGGAATAATGTTATCAGTATTTCATTTTTGTGTGGTTAAACATATTGTCATCGGAGTAGCCCGTTAAATTCAAGTTTCTCGACTTCTTACACGGTTTCGAACTTAGTTTAATAAATTAATAATAATAAGCCCCAGAACCCTTAATGGAATATGCGCCGAACTTATTTTTGTTTTATGCGGCACTCCCAAAAAAAGGCTGAGGACATCAAAGCCGCTGATAAAACTATTATTATTAACTTACTTAAGTGCGCAAAATCAAGATTTTAATACTCTTCCAAATCTACTTCTTTAATTACCGACCAACAGAATTCTGCATGATATCTCTTTGGAACACACTTTTAATCGAAAAAGCATTTTCAGCGGAAAGTAGGTCAACGAAGTCGGCACTCAACAAAGCACACCACTGTTATTTCTTCGTTGCTGTCAGTGTCACTGTATGATTTAGGAATTATCCAAGGAATTATATATATAAGTATATATATATATGTATTTCAATTATATATCCAATATTTTCTTTCTGGAATAAATATCATATACCAAAATACGTACATCTCGCGGTTCATTAAAAATGTTACAACATTAACTTCGTCGGAGATGAAGATGAGGACTAACCAATAAATATAATATGATATATATTTTATGTATGTAATTTTTCAGGTTCCATATATTGATGGTGGAAAATGCCTTCTGAATCATCAGTCCTGTCGTCACAGCAACGGTATGTGCCACTTGTAGGTCACTAAAGACTCATCTCTAGGAAACCGTCGCTCACCCTGGAACCGCGTTTGAATTATTTCAGGGTGGCGTTCTATTTTTCTCATTGAGAGATTTACATCTGAGCACCCGCGTCCAGGTCACTCTTTTTGCTGCGTAGCAAAGTTATGCGAATTTAAGATAATCCCTCAGTTAGCTTCGCCCTCCACTTTGATGCTGATTAAGTTGTCCACGTTTATTGGACCGACCAGGCCTTCTACGGCTGTGCGTTCCCTTTGCCATCGCTCATATTTAAAGAATGTATGTTGAGCGTCGTCTGCTGTCGCGTCGTTGTAAAGGCACGACGGCTCTTTCTTTTCCCGTTCTGTAGAGGTATTTTTTGAAGTATTCGTTACCGGATAACAGCTGTGTTATGTTGAAGTTGACTTATCCAAATTTACGACTTGTCCATAAGTTTAGGTCTCTTATAAGCCTCTTCGTTGCCATGCTGATATGGTATCTTTCTTTATTTGTTCTATTGCGATATTGTTATATTCAGAAATTTTCTTATGCTCCCACAGTTTTTTCCTTTCGTATGCCAGAAGGTCAATTGGAGCATTTCAGCTTATAACTAATATTGCATCACCTGATACTGTTCGGTAAGCTGATGCAACTCTGAAGGCTGTGGTGCGGTGCACTCTGGCCACTATCTTACGCCGGTTTTCCTTTTTTGGCGCATCTGCCCAGATTTCTGCTCCGTATAATAAGACGCTGATAGTCGTTGCCATTAGGAGCTTTCTTTTTTCTTGGCTGGGTACGCCTATGTTGGCCATAGTCTGCTGAGTTGGGAGGTGATTTAGCTACCTTTTCTGCGGCATGCTAGGTTTGTACCCAGAAACTTAATCTGGGGTCCAGTCTTACGCCTAGGTAGTTCACCGGATTTGTGTTCACTATAGCATATAGCTGTCATACAAACTTACCGATAAAAACCAAGTTCTTGTATGGAAAACATTTTATTTGTTCCGAAGCAACATGCGAAGAAATTTTCAAGATTGGAGCACTATATATATATATATCTTTCGTATAAACTGAACGATCACAATTAAGTTCTTGGCTAACTTCAAAAAACTCAATTTCTTCTTATGACTCAATCTCTCGAAACAAATTAGTGTGGTTCAATAACAAAGTTTTTGCTATAGTGTTATAACTGAAAAATTTTTTGGGATTTGAATTTCTGAAAAGTAAAAACAATTTTTATAAGGAGTTTTTTACAGTCAGCAGCATATTCGACATGCTTGACGAGAGATGGTATTGTGACTCAAGTGTGAACCTATAATTCACCGTAAGTACGTGCACCATATAATTTATTTCATTAAAACAATTAAATATTTTCTACACAAATATATTAATAGAGGTACTATTATAATACATATGTATGTATATTGTACATATTGCAGGGCAATGCATTTCGAACTCAATAAATTCGTATTTACTTTAGATAAGTAGTCATTCACAAGTACATTCACCTACGACGCCAAGCACACAATATACATACCTTTATATGTATATGTAAACGTATACATTTTTAAGTGGCTATATGTAAGGCTTTCTGATTATATCTACAGTTTTGTGGCTGCTTATTCGTCTTATAAAAAAGTAAGTATGTACTTATGTATTATATAATATATAAAAGCGCATGAACATAAATTATATGAATATGTATATGTGTCATATAGGTCAATGACTGCCGCCATTGAAAGTGAATGATTAAAATATAAATATGTTGCATTCGTTAATGAGTGTAGAAAGTTATAAAAAAAAAAACTATAAAACAACAGCTAAGGTCGATTGTAAAGGAACTTAAAAAATTTTAAAATATACGAGTACTATAAAGTTTTATTTAAAGATACTGTTACTAGGGAAAGGGAAAATGAAAGAGCGAAAAATCTGACTGTTTGGTCGGGTGACTGCACTTAAGAACGGAAAAAACCACTATATAATTATGAAATCCGCTGCAATCTATCACAAATTAGCTAAGGCAACTAGGTTCAATACCAGATAATTCAGCTGACTTGCTGATGAAATGTAAACCAGTCCTCAAAATTAATATTGTGAAGGAATACCAGAAGAATTTGGGACTTTTCTGAAAACAAAGATTTTCTTTCGTCGATTTATCAGCATTACTGTTTCTTTCCAAAATTATCCTAATCGTATAGTAAGCATCCAAAGCACACCTAGCGGGATGAAAAAATGAGCTCCATCGAATTTACTTTAGTGATGACTCGAAGAAAAACGATCCGATTATCATGAAATAATTCTACATACAATGACTTATCGGTTTTTTGATTTGATCAAATATCGAATTTTGGCAGGCCACGACCATAATTAAAGGTAAAAATCAACCTTTTTTTTAAGAACCCCGCCATTTAGTAAATTTTTGATTTTGTTTTAATCACTGCAGTAGTAAAGATCCTTTGTTTAGCACCGAGGAGATCTCGTATAATTAAAAAAATATTTAAGTTATTTTCAAACATTTCACTGTGTATTCTTAAAACATGTATAAATATACCTTGAAAATTTCAAAACAATCAATAGAGCAGTTTTTGTTTTTAAAGTCTCAAAATTGTCGTTTTTTTATGCTGGCAGGCTTGTCCCTTAAGGATCCTTAGAATATTTTGAGGAGTAAGATTGAATAACTTGTTCAGTTTTCCAAACTGATGCTACCTCAGATCATCAACAGACAAGTGCTATAGAGTTCTGGATAGCAGGATGGATGACGATCTAGTTCCACCTAGGGAACCATCTCTAAGTAAGCCTTAATTTAGTGAATTCAGCCTCAAGACAATAAAATATAACTGAAATTAAGTATCTTTAGTGATTTCTGTTGCGGGTCTAACCTAAACCGTTTGAGCAGGCGGAAAAAATAATATTTTTGCGTATCCGGAAAGATATTGGAGTTCCAATTGTGAAGACAGATTTAATATGTGTCAAATGAAACGCATAATCCGGAACAGGTGTATCTTCACCGACAGAAACCATAAATGTTCATTAAATATATTTTAATTAAAATTTTATTTAAAAAAGATGTTTTACGTAAAAGCGATTTGAGCTTTTCAGCCCACCAGTTAAATATCCATGCTCACCTCTCTTATAATGTATATTATGATAATATAGTGATATAATAGCTGCTTACTTTTATTGAGCATCGTAAGTATTTATTACATATTCGTCACATTGTAATATACTGCTTACTCAGCGACCTAAATTGAATGCGAAACTCAGATCGTGCAGACCAGCTTTTTTACAACAACAATATATTTAAATGTGTAAATACATCAATAAACCTAGATATTTATATTAAAGCAATAAACCACACGTCATTGCATAATATGTAACTCGTAGCTACATATGTATATAAAATGCTAATTCAATCATTTTTCCAGCTTACCGATAATGAAATAATAAAAAAAAATGGAAACATTGTAATTCAGCATAACAAGTAATCAAATCAACTACCGGTATACTAATGGATCGATGGATTATGCGGTTATAGAATTATATGACTGAACGTATGAATACAATAGAGAGGCATATATAATATTTATGTATGTTGTTGAAATTCAATATGCAAATGTGTGAATATCCGTTAAAATATAAATTTACTATATACTATATCAACTTATATATGTGTATACGAATATATATTTTTATACCCCCAACAAGGTATATTAAGATTGCTACGAAATTTGTTACAACCAGATGGAAATGTTTAAGACTCTATAAGGTGTATGTATATAAGTAATAAATGGTCGTCATGACGAGCTGAGTTGATTTAACCATGTTCGCTCGTCTGTCTGTCTGTCTGTCTATATGCCATATATACGAACTAGACCCTCAGTTTCTCCTCAAGAAACTTCTGCTCATTTGTCTCAACCACCGACATCGGAGCTCTATAGCATATAGATGTCATACAAACTGAACGAATTAAATCAAGTTCTTGGGGGGGGGGGCAATTTTTTTAGTTGACAAGATATCTTCCCGAAATTTGGCATAAGTTATTGCACAAAGCAGCGCTACAATCAGTTGAACAAATTGTTTAGATCGGACCACTGGAGTATATGTATAGCTGCGCTGCAAACTGAAATTTCGGATGGATTATTTTTCAAAACAACGCGCAAATATCCGAACAAATTTTTCAGATCGGATCACATATAGCATATATCTGTAATATAAACTGAACCATTGAATTCAACTTCTTGTATAGAAAACATTTTCATTTCATAAGATATCTTCACGATATTTGACATGCCCAAAGTAACCCGACAATTTCTAAACATAGTGTTCATAGCTGATAAACTGACCAATCATCATATGGAATGGTTTTTTATTTGACATATTATCATTAAATTTGGCATAGATTATTGTCCGCGGCAATGATGCACTTTCCGAACATATTGTTCAGATCGGACCACTATAGCATATAGCTGTCATACAAACTGAGCGATCAACGTCAAGATAAAGATCTACATATAATACTTTTTTCCTTGTTGAGTAACCTTGACTCGGCTTAAAGAATGCTTATATCAAACAACGTGGCTATAAAGAAGTAGCAAAGCCTTTTCTGTAGGATACAAGCCGTTAGGCGATTTCGTTTTCGGATTTTGTTATACATATATACAATATATTCGCTATAAGAAATGCACCTGAGTAGGGTATTATAGCTTCGGTGCAACCGATTTGATTGCTTTTTCTTGTTTTTATCTGGAATTACCAATAAAGCAAGAAACCACATATTTTTTCTCTAATTACCGCAAGCAATTGTAATTAAATGGAAAAAAAGATCGATGTATTATTTGCAAATGGTTTTGCACTCTAAGTCTTCTTTGCATGCAATTTTCATATTTGAGTGGAAATTTACTTCCTTTTAATATATATTAAGTTGTGCTAACAAAGTCTGTATTGATATACCCACTTAGCAAATATTACATACGAATATACATATATACAAATATATAGGTATTTAAACATACAATTAATGTTAAAAAAATTCTACACAAAAATCGCCTCGAAGTTTCTTCTCAGCTTCGTCAAGGTTGCTGCAGTATAACAAACTGCTTTTCGTCGATTTTTATAACCGAACAACTAATCTCCGACATAACCAACAGCTAAGCGGCAAGCGACTTCAAGAAAGCCGTACGAAATGCGCAAAAACCAGTTTCATACAAAAAAAAAGTGGTGAGTAAAGCAGAAATATAGAGCTTCGTATAGTTTTATGACACAGAAAACCTCCATAACATGAATATGTATTTATGTATAACAGTTAAATATGTTCAAAGGTCGAAACAATCTTAAGCGAGATTGGTTGATTTTTTTCTTTCTTCAATGCAAACTAAAATGCAAGCGAAAAATTTAAGAAGTTGATAGAAAGAGGAGAATAATAAATTTAAAATATTTTAAAAAGTAAACACGAAAAAACGTTGACATCGTTTGTTCCGAAGCTGTAATACCATTAACATATAAAAAAAGTTTTCATACAAGCACTTCATTTTGATCAGTCACATTGTATTGCAGCTATATGCTATAATGGTCCGATCTAAACTAAAATGGAGATTGTACCTTTGCCTTAGACAATAATCCATGTAAAATTTCATGGAGATATTGCTATAGTGGTCCGATATCGGCAGTTCCGACAAGACGGCAGCTTCTTGGGGAGAAAAGAATGTGTGCACAATTTTAGATCGATATCTCAAAAAATTAAGGAATATTTAGCACATATACAGGCAGACAGGCAGACATGGCTAATTATATATGTATATATTTCATAGGGTTCTGACCTTTCCTTTTGGGTGTTAGAAGCTTCATACACCCTGTTCTGATTGTAATTAATCTTGTTTTACAACATTTAGAGATTTAGTTTCAAGCAGATTGGGTTTTCCACGTAATCTTATACTAACCAAATTGTCGCTCTGCACTAACGGAACGAAAATTTCGCAGTTTAAACTTCCAGCTATTATTAGTAAATCTCTCTCTATAATATTAACCTAATTAGCTTCAATGTTTACTTTCCCAGAAGAATTAAAAAAGTTAGACTACTGAATGTAGTCCACTTTCCGACCTCAGATCGCTCCTAAATATTTACCCTTTCATTTTGTTATTTTAATTTCATTTTTCAATGGGTTTCATCAATGCTGGGAAATTATGGTAAAAAAATTAAATGTATCAAAAGTTTTACAAAAAACAAAAATCTATTATAAACAAGTAAGCAAGGGCTAAGTTCGGATGTAACCGAACATTTTGTACTCTCGCAAAGTTAAATGGTATACTCGTTTGGATTGACTTTTTGTGGATTATACCTATACTTTAAACGTATTATTCACGCAAAGTTTTACCCCGATATAATCATTGTTGCTTGATTTGCATACTGGAAAGTGAAAAAATCAGATGAAATTTAAAATGGTGTTATATGGGAAATAGGCGTGGTTGTAATCCGATTTAGCCCATTTACGCAATATAACATAGAAATATGAAAATAATGTTATGTGCCGAATTTGGTTCAAATCAGTTAAGCAGATCCCAAGATATGGGTTTTCACCTAAAAGTGGGCGGTGCCACGTCCACTGACTTATTTTGAACGCGGTTACTATAAAGCCTTTTTATACCATCCCAGAGATAAAATTTAATGTCTCTGGCTTGTTTAGTGCTTGATTTATCGCGCTTTTAGTACTTTTTAACAGTACCGTTATGTGGGGGCGGGGTTGTCACGCGATTTCTCACTGATAAAGGTCCTAAAAACATTTGTTCTTAGTGAAGTTTGTTATTATAGCTTCAGTGGTATAGGAGATATGCACATCAAACTGCACAATAGGTGGCGGGACCACGACCACTTAAAAAAAATTTTAACTGCAGATGCCTCTCCCTAATGTGATCCTGTATACCAAATATGAGTCTTGTATCTTGTTGTGGAGCTTAGTTATAGCAATTGATTTGTCTGCAATGCCAACCGGCTTACGGTACCAAGAAACATGTGTACCAAGTTTCATAAAGATATCTCAATTTTTACTCAAGTTACAGCTTGCATAGACGGACGGACGGACAGACGGACAGACAGTCACCCGGATTTCAACTCGTCTCTTCATTCTGATCATTTATAAATACATAACCCTATATCTAACTCGATTAGTTTTAGGTGATACAAACAACCGTTGGGTGAACAATACTATTATAGTCTGTAGCAACAAGTTGCGAGAGTATAAAAATGTTCTAAGAAGATACAGAAATTATATCTTTTATTTAAAGAAAACTGACTGACAGTTTTTGTCATTAATCTGAGATTGCCCTCCGTGTACATTTGAAGTACTTCAATAAGAGATTCTGAATATAGTAAATTTATTAGTTTAAGAAGCCCACAAATAAAAATCAGTCATGTGAGTTGTACAGAGTTGCTCGTTTTTAAAAGAGCATTCAATACTCCCCTCAATTTATCAATCATTTTATATGCACTCACTTACATACATATGAACATCAAAATAAATACCATATGAATATGTATGTTCAAGTATGTATGCATATAAATATATACATATATAAAAATATGTATTTGCTATGCATATGCATTAGCTGACGATCACGAAACCCACGTACGCAATGTCATGATTGAAAGTGACAATAATGTAGAAAAACGAAAATGAAAATGTTCTTCAAGCGCCAAATTTGTACGTAAAACAATTCTGTAGGTCAGTGGTGGCGTCCGGTACATTGAACGGTAGCCAGCAAAGCTTTGCGATATCACTCCATTTTTGCTTTTGGCAATCCTCTAATACCACATTTTTGTTTTTATTTAGTTGAAGTAACACTTCTATGTTTAATTTAACATTCACAGCGACTGGAAGCAATTAGAATTTTAATTACTTGGAGTTTTATGATTATTTTATAGGAGGTATATAGGAATGTAAACATATATAATACAAATATATGTATGTACCTATATACATATGTACGTCTGTATGAACAATATGTTATATGTATATGTATTCATACATAAAAATTATTAAAAATTAACAAATACGATAATAAACTAAAAATATAAAAACTTGTAACATAAAAAATAAAAATTAAATAATGTTAAGATTAAATAAAATTTAATTAAATTTATATAAAATTAATATTTGCTGGTATAAATATTAATTTAGTTAAAATTATAAAAAGTTAAAGACAGTGCAAAAATTAGTAATCAATCTAGCAATAAAATTTTTATACAATAAGGTTAATGAAAGAAATGAAACTGTGTTAAAAATTAAAAAAAAAAATTAAATATAGTAAGTTTATTTAAAAAAAAATCAAATCATTAAATATTATGTAAGTAACTTTAAGAAAAGGATATAAATTGAGAATAAATATTATAAGACAAATAAGTTTAAAAGCTTTTAAAACAAAAACTAAAAACTACTTTAAATAAAGAAAAATTAAACAAAGAATATTTTATAAACTCTATAGACTTCGAATAAATTTAAATAAATGTTCAAATATACAACAAAAAAAAAATATAATGAAAAATTAAGTCGATTTAGATAGATTAATTTTATTAACCAAAAAATGAATGAAAAAAATCCATAAATAGGAAGTATTAGTTGAGAAACTAAATA